AGACACGCTCGTTTCTCGTTTCTCCATGTCCTGTCATGGACAAGAGCTTTGCAGTTCTGAAATAAGAGGCTTGCTGTGGTGTTCAGCCTTCCCTGCTGTATTTGGTCATGATGGGTCAGTTTTGCTTACGCACTACAGACATTCCAGGACAGCTGATTTGAAAGATAAAGCCAGGGATGCCAGGGCCCCCTCCCCTACTTAATCGCACAGTGCCTCCCTTCCTACTTGAGATGCAAATGGCGTGGCCTGGCCTTGAGTCTTTATCCTGGAGCCCAGCTGTGACATGGCCTGCAACCAAGGGCGGAGTTACTTGTCCAGAACTCAGGGTAATCAGATCTCACAAGCTCGGATCGCTGCATTCCACAAATCCTTTTTGGTAATGACTTTTGCTCTAGGGGGTTCCACCAGTACTCCTGTATTCATTATGCCAGCCACTGACTCCCCGAAACCCACTTAGTGAGCCTCTGTGTAATGAAGAGATGGGCGAGCATAGCAGAGGGAGCTTGCAGCGAGGCAAGGAGCAGGCGGAAGTGCCTGCACGCAGCCAGGGGTCATGCTGCGCCTCACGCAGGATGTCGACCTCCTCCCTGTGGACCTGTGTCCCAGCAGGAAAGGGAGTCATGACATCGGCTGCAGCATGGCCAAGCAGTGAAGTCCAGGGAGCTCAAGGATCACAGATCTCACCACGCTGAGGCCCAGAACGGGGCGCAGATATGGGAGGAACCCCTCGCAACTGCGCGGCTTGTCGCGTGTTCATTGTGGCAGCCGCACGAGGGAGGCAGGCCTTGCATACTGAGGATTGCCTTTGTGTTCCAAGGTAAGAAGCTGATCTCCAGGCCGATGGCGTGTACTAGAACGCTCACTCCACACACAGGAGACTGGGGTCACCTGGAGCACCCTAGGGTCGGAGCGTCCAGCCTCTACACGCAGCCTGTGGGTGGACAAGCCGAGTCCACGTGCTGTTGTGAAATGAACTTTGGGTGTTTGACTGAATTGTGGCCCAGATGAGCCGTTTCCCATCTTTTCACCTCAGTTTCTCTTTTTTAGAAATGGGGTCGAAAGTGTGCTTAAGTTGCCTAGGCTGCAGAAGTATTTATTCCACAAAGAAAGCAATTACTGACACCCCCTGCTGTGTGCCAAGAGAAAAAGAGGGAGGAGAGTGTTAACAGGGCAGAGGCCCTAGACGGGCTTGTGCTGTGGACTATGGCCTTGGCTGCCTCTGAAGCAGCTTATCTGTGACTGGGGGGGGGGGGGGGGGGGCGGGGGGGGACACAACAGACAGGTGTGTGGCATGAGCCCCGCCTTCTTCATGGAAGGACATCAGGAGATGGGGTCTTCCCAGGACACGACCACACCAGGGGCCTGCTCAGCCTACACAGCTCCTCCCACAAGAGAAATCTTTTGCCAAAACACTGAGGCTACAGTCACAATCATGAACAGTCCTGTGCAGTAAAACATGCAAATACCAGTGACCCAGTGTTTTATTAGAAGATGATTAAAGAAAAAAATGAGGTGCTAGAAAGCAAGTATTTGGCTGGATGGACAGTCTCCTTTCGAAGAGCTGCGCGTTGGGGTAGGAAGTAGGTGCCTGTAAAATAAGGTACAAAGAAGAGAACAATGGAAAATACTAGTTGACAGAGACAGCCTTGCTGGGGTTGAGAAGGTGCAGACAGGCCTGGCATTTAGGGGTTGGCAAAATGGATGGCCGAGTTTCTGGTCTGGCAGAAGACCACGGGGGTCCCAGTCATCCGGGTTTGGCTTGTTGACCTGCCAGCACCATGGGGGGGGGGGGGCTAGAGCGTTATTTTGACAGAGCTAAGGACTACAGCATTTAGTCAGGGTGCGCTTGGCTTCTGGCACTGGGGAACGCGCCAGGCCTGTAGGGTGCTATCCAAAGGATCCTGGAAGATTTGCCGTCTGAGGAAGATCTGAAGGGGCTCTGTTGCACACGTAAAAGGAAAGGGGAAGATCGTGGGCAGAGCAGACACACGTGGCAGTTTGGTTGAATCACAGGATTTGCAGTGAGCTGCAGAGGGGCGTGTGGGCGTCACACACGGGCTGGAGACAGTGGGTTCCTGGGTCTCCCGGGGGTCGCTGGTGGGTCTTCGCTGGTGGAAGCGCCTCTGCCCCTACTGGCCTTGGCTGGGGATGATTCCATACCCTTCCTGTGTGCGCTATGTCCTGGATCCTGCCCTGTGATTACAGAAACAGGCTGTCTGGCCCTCAGCCACTCCTGAGGTGTTTTTTTTCCCCCTCAGGTTTTAGAGATACTGTTCCTCAGAGTGCACACCAGACTGTTCTACTTGTGAAAGGTCTTGCAACCCTTCAGAATCTCAGCGGCGCCTTCCTGCACCCCCCGCCCCCAGCTGCACGTCCTCCATCACATTTAGAGCTTTGTTCACGAAGGTAGTTTGTTCAGGAGCTTTTCTCTAGAAATGGTTTTCTTACTTTATGCCCCCACTTAAAAAAAATGTTGTCTATGCAAACACATAACAATTGACTGCTTTCCTGAGGGACAGTTGTTAAAAAGCCAGTGGTTTATTTTCATTTGCAGCGGGGTAATTTGAGGAGCAGGGAGCTGGAGATGGGGGGCCGGGACAGCCCAGGTAGGGAGGCTGCAGCCGGGAGGCAGAGGCAAAGGCGGGAGAAAGCGTGTGCCTTATCCAGACTTGAGGCCCACAGCTTCATTTCCAGAAGGATCGCTTTCCCTGGCCCAAAGGCCGCTGGGCACTGAGGACGAAGACATGGCAGCATTGTTCTCACTGGGCTACCAGAAAGTTCTGAAAATGCACAGCACTGTATCACAAGTGTGGGCGCTGTGTTAAAGAGGAGGTAACAGTGGCAAGAGTATAGTGAGAGTACTCTGGTAAATGTGTTCATTTTGAAAACGCTGTTAGAGGTGCCCAGTGGGCACCAGATAAAGGCACCAAGTGGCCACCCCACACGTGTCTCTGTGCCAAAGGTGCCTTGCTGAGCACCGACAACACTGAGTGAACATCTTACGCAGCCACCTTGTGCCATTTTCCCCTGACCTCAGGACCCTCCCCTTGCGGATGCTGGTGCCTGCACCGCACAGCTCCCACGGGCAGTGTCTGTACTGGGGAGCAGGAGGATGTGGAGACGGGCTGGGAAGTGTGGCCGCCGCACCTTCCCGGTGGCCTCCGCACCTTCCCGGTGGCCTCCGCCGGTCTCCAGGCCCCGCCGCCTACCTGGGTCAGAGGCTTCTAGAGCCAGCATATTCACCCCGCCAGCAGGCGCCCCCAATGCCCTGCCCTGGTGGGCAAGCAGCCTGTGCCCACACCCACTGGGGGCGTCCCATTACGCCCTGCCTTCCGGGGCTCGTGGGCAGACTATGGGGTCCCATTCCCAGGGCGCTTTGGCTGCTTGTGGACGCAGCCTAGAGGGCAGCTCACTCCCCACACGTGACTCCCTGTCGCTGGGGCAGGACGAGGCTTTGCTCTAGCATCGCTGTGGAGGTGGCTGTCTGCCCCCACAGCTTGGTGCCTTCTGCTGCAGGAGCCGCCGGGCAGGGGCGGAGAGGTCCTGGTGGGAACGAGGCAGCAGGCCCTGAGGCCGGGGCATCCGGGCTCGCGAAGTTCGCGGTCTCAGGACAGCTGCCGCTCCTCTCTGCTCTGTGGCTAGGTGCCTGGCCAGACAGGCCAGCTCCGGGCCTCGTCAGAAGTTGGTACCTTGTGCATCTTGCTCTGCTGATGATTTGTGTGGTTGTACTCGCCATGTGCCAGGACGGCTGGGTAGACATGAAGTAATGTCCCCCGGGCATTACGACAGGCAGTGTCTCGGGAGCGCTCACAGAAGTGTAGACAAGGGACACAATTTGTATACTAAGCCATCATGGAACCTTTTAATCTGCAAGAAGCAGATTTCTTGGTGAGACACATTTCTCTTGTGTCAAACTCTTTCAGCCACGACCATCCCTTTGTGCCCTGGGAATAAAGGCAGGGTTGGCAAGGCGCTGCTCGGTGCTTTGAGGATTGCGCCTTTGCGACATGTGGGCGATTTTATAGATTCTGAGGATTTGTCCGCACTTCAGGCCACGCTGGCGTCTGATTCCAACCTTGCTGTCTAGGTGGGGTGACTGAAGAGAAGAGGGTATATGCTGGAGGGCGCGGACTTGCTTTGTGGGTGTCTTGTGCCCCATGTGACTCGCTCAGCCGCGCCTGAGAGCTGCCCACTGGAGCGCTGCGTGTCCAGCACTGTCGCTGTGGGGAACGCTGGCCAGGGCCCTGGGAGGGTCGTGCAGGGCTGGGTCTGCTACAAGCACAGGGGCAGAGTGGCTAGAAGGGTCAGCAGAGCCAGACTCTCGCGAGCGCTGCACCTCAGTCCTGTGTAACCGCCCGCGTGGAGCATGAAAGGCTCTTACGTAGGCCAAGAAAGTTCAGGCTACAAAGCTATCCGAGGGGCAGCCTTGAAGTAGAATTTCAGACAGACTGACGCAAGGTGGTGAGTTTGGGGCACAACGAATCGCTCCCCACACCTGTCCGTTTTGGGGCCCATAGCCTCCCTGACACGGCCCCGTTTCATGGAGCATGTGCTCTTCAGGCTCGGCGTCCGAGGTTTCTCAAGGCTCCCAGTGCCTTCGTGACGTTTCTGCCCTTGCTGGCTGGGGCTGTGCGTGCACGTGTGCGCCCCAGCCGCACCGCAGAGCTGTGGCCATCGCTGCGGGCCGCCCTCCGCGCCCGTTCATTAGGGGACAGCGATGGCCTCCACGCCACTGCTATCCAGCGCAGTTGTTAGATGGGTTGCCTCCCACGCTAGCCTGCTGGGATTACTTCAGAGATGATTACAGGGCTCTGCAGTAGGCCTGGTGTTTCCAGGCCTCCATGAGTAGGAGAGCGAAGGGTGATCAGCCTGGGCCGGGCGCGCTTGCTGCGGGAAGAGGCTGCTTGAGGCAGCCCAAACTTCGCATAGACGTGCACCTACTTTGGTGTTTAATGCCGTGGTGTCTGGCTTGCGTTCACGTGCCCGTCTGCTTCCGCCAGGCTCACCATCCACGCCGAGTGCCCCATGCACCTGGAGGACTTCCCCATGGATGTGCACGCCTGCCCGCTCAAGTTTGGAAGCTGTAAGTATCTTCTCCCTTTCGGGTAGTCTCATCCCTCCCAAGAGAGACTCGGGGTGGCCTGTGCTTTCCTCAGCCCATTTGTGAGGCTCGGGCCTTTCGTTGGATACAGGAGAGGGCCAGGGAGGACCTGAGGAACACTAGCTGACCAGGAGGACAGGACTTGGCATTTGAAAGACCCAAAGAATTACGTGTGACACATCTGCTCCATCACTGTCACATGTTACAGATTGGCTTCTGCACGCCAGCCTACCCTACCAGAGTACGGCCCCGTGCATAAGAACACAGCCCTCCCGCGCTGTGCTTCCTTGATAGAGTGATGGTGAGACATGAAATCAGCCTTCCATAGAGCAGTCAAGTGTAACGCTCGCGCACTCCGACAAGATGGAGGACGCACATCACTGCAGGTGGGGGGAGGGGCAGCCACTGACATGGGTGATGCCCGCCGGACCCTTTAGAAAAGCGACACTAGGCCAGAAATTTTAAAGAGGCCAAGGGGTTCACAGTGCAGCTGAGGGGTCACGTCCAGGTGGCGTCCAGCCAGAGGTGAGACTCCAAGTCAGAGAACATCAGAGAGGCCAGGAGGGGCTTGCCCCGGGAGCTCGGTCATCGAGGGTCCCACACGGCACTCAAGGGCTTTCTATTTTATTTATTCTCAGGAAGATGGGGAGTGATTGGAGTATTTGGAAGAAAATAATTACATTATCTGACTTGTGTTTAAAAGAATCTTTATACAAGTTTTGTGAAGCATGCCAGAATGAGCAAAATGGCACTGAGTTCATTTAAGAGGTTGTGGCAATAGTTCAGGTGAAGAACAGTAGCTGCGCTTGCAGTGATAGTGGTCGCTGAGGATGGTGAGGAGCCCCTTGATTCTGGGTGGCCGTGAAGGGTGACCCAAAGCGTCCGCCAGGGAATGAGGTGCAGCAGATTAGGCAGAGAGGAAGCACGAGACTGGACGTTTGTCTGAGGTGGGCAGTTCTCGCGCTCTGGTCAGAGTTGTTGTGGGCAATTTGTGCTTCATGAATGGTAAGAAAACCTACAACTATAGAAGCAACAAGGATGGACGAAAGAAATTCTGGAAAGTGGGCAGAAGCTCCACAGCTTAATCTGTACTCTGCGACTTCTCCCCTCCTGGTGGTATTTACACATTGTTCCGTGGATGGCAACTTAGAATTCAACTCTGGCCCCAGGTATAGCGCTGCTGGGTGCTGGGGGTGGAGAGAAAGCAATAGTTTGATGACACAGAGCTAACATGATGAAAGCAGAGATCGAGATCTCAAACTCTTAGCTCATACTGCTCCCAATGCAACGGCTGCATTTTGCATTGCGCAGACCATAAAGCTAAAACCAAATACAAGAGTCTTTGAAAAGTAGAGCTTGCTTTCCTGCAGTCTCCCAGTGCTACTTAAAAAAGTGACATGCTAGCCTCCCAATCTAAACCCCAGAGAAGATGTGCCCTAGTTAGAAGGGAGCAGCAGAGACACATCAGAGTTAACCTAAGTAATTCAGGGCAGTCTCGTGGGTTTCTGGGGGCAGTGCCCCATGCTGCATGCCTAGCGAAGGAAGCAACGAAGCCTCTCGGCTGTGACCCACTATCATCAGAAACATCTACAGATTATTATACAATGTCTGAAATTTAATAAAACCTCATGAGGTAGGCCAGTAGACAGGGCCACAGAACTTGAAAACAAGGTTTAAAAATTAAAACCCCACCGTATGGAAACAGACCCCTAGGTGGTCCAGATAGCACAGTTTGTAGGTGAGCACTTTCAAAGCATTTCTGGTGAGATGGGGAACAAGACAAGGATATGACTTTCAGCACTAATGTTCAACATAATACTGGGACACTCAGCCCCATCACTTAGGCAACGGAAAGATGTAGAAGGGATCCGGGCTGGAAAAGCGGGAAACTGGCACTGTCTGCAGAGTGTTTACACCCAGAGAATCCAAAAGGCTGAACAGCGAGAAGTCACAGCCAGATGCTCTGACGCGGCAGGATACGAAAATCAGTACACGAAGGTTCTATATGCAGGCAATGAATTAAAAGAAAGAAAATTTAAAAAGAAATCCCATTTACAGTCACTCCAAAAACAATGAAATACCTGGGAGGAAACTTAATCAAGGAGGCGAAGGGCCTCATCATCGATAAATGGTATCGAGTGAAAAATTCACAAAGTTGGTAACCAGCAGCATGATAATTACAAAGAAAACACCGATACTCAAGTTTATACAGAAATAACTGAAATAACCACCACACTCTGGCAGAGGATAACAAGATGGGGAATTTACAATCAGATTAAATCAGGGCCAGATACTAAGTTCTGTTTGGAAGCTTGAAAGCCATCGATACTTTAAATCTGTAGGTGGTGTGACTGCAAAGACAGACAGAGACTACGAACCCAAAGTTCAAAACCACACCGGTGGGGGCTTGCAGACAGCACGGGTGAGAAGGATGGAGACCTTGACATTTCTCTCTCATCACACACAAAACTAAATTCCAGGTGGATTTCAGATGGCAACAACAGAGCCTTTAGAAGAATATCCAAGAATATTTTCATGATCCCGGAATAGCATGACTAATCACCAAGGTACTACAGGAGGGCTCAGTATCATTATAAATAAGGATTCTTTTGATCAAAAGATGGGTAAAAAGGCAAGCCACAGTGTGGGCAGAAATATTTTCATGCACATGACAAATGGCTCAAACCCATGATTATTGAGATCCCTTGCAATGGTCAGAAACCTTAGAGCGGACAGACACCCACGTGCTGGGCAGGCCTTCCAGACGAGGGCTTCGCAGACACACACATGCAGCAATCAGTTATACGCGCCAGTAGGAAAGTCATCATGAAGGTGCAGAGGCTGCCATTCGTAACCACTGGGACGACTAAAATGAGAACACCAACATACCACGTGCTAGTTGGATATGGAGCGTAAGTCTCTCGTGTACCATTACTAGGAATGTGAATTTGTACAAAGGCTCTGGGAAGTTGGTGCAATCTACTGGGGCTGAACACACATTTCATTTAACCTGGCATCTCTTACTGAAAGCGCGTCCAAACACACACAAGCATTTCTGCACACTGAAGTGCATATGCTGAATATTTCTGCATACTTGAGTGCAAAGCCAGTGTTAGCAGCACCTAGCCACAACGACCCCAGTGCCCAGCAGAATAGATTAAGCATCTGCGGCATAGCCACACAGTGGCATGCCAAGTGGCAGTGACTACTAGGGATATTATCCTCAGCAACAGGATGGTAAGGTTGAGCTGTAATGCCAAGCAGACGCTGGGCATGGTGAGTGCCGCACACAGGGCACACTCACAGCACACAGGGCAGGCAAAGGCAATCCTTAGTATTAGGAGACTGGGCTATTTTACCTATCACTGCTACCGGTAGGATTTCCATCCCTGCATATTAAATTATGAAATTCAGGAGCAAGAGGTCGATTGTCAGGAATTTTATAAATGTTAATAATAAAACACTTCCAGCACTCTTCATACTCAATCATCATGGATACCCAACTTTTGTAATACACAGGGCCAGTATAGATAGAAGGCCAGTGTATACAGAAGATACTGAAACACTGGAATAAAACAGAACATCTTATTGGATAGTATTTGAAGAACAACATTTGGTGAGCTCAGTGGCACTACACAGACTCAAGAGTCAAAATTGCCAGTTGAAGGATTTCTTTTGCCTCTCAAACTTGTTATTTCTTGAGCACCCACTTGCAGGGTTTATATATCCTATACTGTGCATGTAGAATTAGCATATATAATTTGCAAACTTGGCTCACCATTCGCAGCATACAGGGTCACAAACATGTAATAAACACAATCATAGCAACAGAAACACCTGGGAGTTTTAAAACTTTTGACTCAGTGAGCCAGCATTTTCTGCTCTTTTCACTTAAAATTACTTCAAATCTGTAATGTCTTTGCACATATGGTGAGTTTTAATTCCTGCAGAAGAATTTATTTTTTCCATAGTACCAGTGAACGATGAAGAAACTTAAGAGAGTGTGTTGTCCTGAAAACGAAATAAAGTACATCAAGTAGGAGCGCGTGATTGGAAGTGGGCAGTTAAAGTTACTTTAAAGAAGTTCGTGAACTAAAAGCAGTTCTGGAATGGTGGGATGAGAACCTTCGATGCCCACTGCTCCAGAGAAACAATGGGAGCATTTTCAGAAATGGTCAGAGTCTTCTTTCTGCAAACGCTAAGCAGAGGTTCCCAGCCTCCCGAGGCGCGTGACCCACCACAGCACGACTGGTTCTCAGTAAGAGCCTTGGTGAGATCGGGGAGTCCGGTTTCTAGCCCCTTTTCATTCTGAAGAAGCCTGAAGATTTTGTAATGACAAAAGGGTCCTTGAGGAAGATAGAAAGATCATAGAGCTCTATGCGCCTGATTTACTAAACACTGAAATACCTGTGGCAATCGGATGGAACTGAAAGGGAAAATCTATAGTTCAACACAGTAACAGTGAAGGCCTCGATGCTCCACTTTCGAAAGAAAGCTGGTCAAGTCAACATAGAAGATGGAACACTACTGCCCAGACACAACGTGCCCAGCAAACAGCAGAATACACATTAGTCTCAAGTGCAGCTGGAACGGAAACAGAGGAAGAAATTCAATGGCTAAAAGCATGAGAGAGTGCGCCTGACCACTGACCTCCCAGAAGCAGGCAGGGTTACACAGAAATGCTGTGAGCAGCTGTGTGTCAGCACATTGCATGGCCGATCGCAAGGGAAATTTCCCAGAAATGCACACGCCACTCATATTAAGGGGGAAATAGAAATGTTTATTGGCCCTATAACAAGAGATTAAATGGTAATTTAATAACTCCTCACAAAGAAAAGCACAGGCCCAGAATTCACCCTTTGCAGGCTAGCAAACAGTTACAGAGGAAATAACCTTCACAGCAGCTGGGAAAGATGTAGAAGAGGAGGTAACCACACTTCTTACACAGGTCCTCCGACTCTGCTGCCAGAACCAAAGATCACAAGGAAAGAAAGCCTCAGGCAAATGTCCTTTCTGGGTATAGACCCAGAAACCTTCAGCGGAATATTAGCAAACTCAACGAAGCAGCTGAGAAAGGGAGTCTGTCTTTAAGCGGGATTGAGCCCAGAATAGGCGACTGAACACACAAAATCCAGTCAGTGCAACACACCACACTGCTGTCAAAGAGACTGAGCCGTTGTCACCGCGGGCCCACTGCCCTCGCCCTGGCGCTCGCTCCTGGCTCGCACGTCCGTGCTAGAATGCACTAAGCGTTTCACTCGAATATTCAGGGTGTCTGCTCGAGAGATCCTACAAGAAACACCTTTTTGTCAGGGGTGGAAAACATCCTCCACCCCCTCCCCTTTCCTTGAACAGAGACCTATCTGGTCGTTCGGCGTCTAACTCTGGCAGTAGCGGACAGAACGGGGAACATCTCTTCATTGCAGTGTTTTCAACAGAGGGAGTCACAGCCCCCTGGACAGCAATGATTTTCGCTGCTTCATGGAACTCCAAGGCTGGGCAGCCCCGGGGCAGCGCGGCCAGGGCCAGGTGAGAGCGCCTTCAGAAACCGCTGCTCACCTCGTGGAAGCAGGGTTAGGTGACGGTGCGAGAGGGGCGTGAGCAGAGGGCTTGCCTTCTTTCTTGGTGACAGTAGTTTAAAGACCTGTAATTCCAGCTGGGAGTTGTAGACACCCCAGAGGTTTTTCAGACAAGTTCATAAAAGAGCAGAGCAATCCCTGCAACTTTTAAGTGATTTGTCCAGATTTAAAACTGGCGAGGGTCCCATCAAATCCACATCTGTTCATTTCTTGATGAGGTCAGAGTACCTGACCACATCAGGCAGCCACCTGGGTCTGAGCAGTGGCTGTCCCTTGAGATGGGCACGTGCTTGCCCATTCCCAAAATGTCCATCACTTTCCACACTCTCCCTGAAGAGTCCAGTGTCAGCTGCTGTCACGCCGCCCACTTGCACTGGTTTCACATGTAGAAGCGTCAGCAGCGCTGGACTCAGGAAACTACATACTCTTGTTCCGTGAACTCTGACACTTCTAAACAATGAGCCGAGAGGACTATTTCCTTACGGAAATGAAGACTGCGCCTTTAGCCTGCATACAAAGCTGCCTTTTGTTGAAAAGGAAACATCAACTAGCAGCAATAGGCAGTCTGCTCTAAAGAACTATAGCAGATATAAGTGTGCCTTGAATATCTTAATAAGCATATCTTAATCAGTCTGCTCTAAAAGCAGACTGAAGGTGTAGCGGCTTTGGCGGCTGCAGATGCTAGCGGCTGTGCTGAAATGTAGTGGCGCGTGGGACAAGAAACCTTGCCGGGCCTCAGAGTGTCTCACAGACGCCGGTGTGTAAGGCCTCCTAACCACTGCAGAAAGTATGCGGACGAGCAGTCTTTTTGTCTGTGTGTTGAAGACATGACTGAGGTCACACGATGTGCATTATGTGGAGAAGTTCCGTTTCTTGCGGCAGTTTTTCTCAGCTCACGAGAGCACAGGTGTAAAATATACCACGACTGTAATGAAAATGTTGGTGTGATGAAGACCTTCTTGGCCATTGCAAGCACGTCAGGACATGGTTTACTTGGAAATACGCGGGAGTCCTAAGAAGTGGAGCATAAGCAGCTCACTCAGGACTGGTGCTGATGTCAGACTGTTGTGAAATGGACGTTCTGGCCTGCAAAGTTCTGTAGACAAGTCGTCGGCAGACTCACTAAGGGCTGTTTGCTTTGCCAAGAAGATACCAGCGGAGCCTAGTTTGGACCTGAACAGCTGCCACCGTCACTGGCTTGAGCGCAGCAGCCCAGAGCCTGGCTGGCTGGGTGCTCGGCTGCCCTTTGCGAGAGCGGGTGTCTCCGGTGGTGCCAGGTGCTCACCCAAACAGAAGTCCCCTGTGCAGCCATCAGGCCTGGGGGCAGGCGACGCTCTGAGCTTCCTTTAAGCCACCGTTTTCCTTTTCTTCAACCTGAGCCCACAGCACAGCACGCACTAAATTCTCTGCTTGATACTGGATTCCAGAGGCCAGAGCGGACACGCATGGCTGGGACAGAGGGCAGGGGCAGGGAGGCGGCTTTCTGGGCAGCAGATCACAATGTAATTAGTTTCAAAAGACATTTGAACTCCACCCATTATTACTATTTTTATTTCTGGGAATTTTCATTTTTAAATTTAAATGTTATCCGCAATGTTTGTCTCTAACCTTATCTCGTGTGCTCACCTCATCATCATTAAAGAACAGTTTGTGACACTTCTGGCCATTTATTTTTCTTACAACACGCCTGGTGTGTTCATTTGGGATGCCTCTGGCGCTGCTGTCGCCTCTGATGTGGCATCAATAATCTGTGAGACCCTATACCGGGTCTCGTTCCCCAAGAGGAGGGAGAGTTCCCCAGTTTGTCCTTAGTCCAGGAGACATTCAGGGGAGACCCCTGTGGGTTCATTCCTGTGCCCCCAGCACACACAGGGTGAGAGCTGTCCGCATCCTGTGGACAGCAGGAGACCGCAGCTGTGCGGGGTGTTGTTCCTTAGGGCCCTGCAGAGTGAGTGTCAAGGGTGCCTACTGTCCTTTGCCTTCAACTTCCTTCTCGCCCTGTTTATGCTGCAGATGCCTACACAACAGCCGAAGTGGTTTATTCTTGGACTCTCGGGAAGAACAAATCTGTGGAAGTGGCACAGGATGGTTCTCGCCTGAATCAGTACGACCTGCTGGGCCATGTGGTGGGCACAGAAATAATCCGCTCTAGCACAGGTAATTCTTCCAGCATCACCTCTCAGCCACTCCGCTCTGTGCAGAGTCCTCCGCGCGGGGCAGCCCGAGTCTGTGCAGACTGTGCGCAGCGGCGATGGGGTCGGGGGGCGCCGGATGGGTGTCGGGGCTCCGACTCTGCGGTGTGGGCCCCCGGGGCCGGCTCACTGACGGGGAGGCGGGATTAGACCGGACATCCCCTCAGTGCCTCTGGCCCCACGGGTCAGCAGGGCTGGATGCGGGGCCAAGGGTGAGTCTTCCTGGGCTCCCGAGTTGAGGCGGGCCAGCGCCTGGTGCGTCTGGTCGGTCCAGTGGTGTCCCCTGTCGCCCCGCGCTTTGCATGGCCTTGGGAGCCTATCTGTGAGCCACCTTGCAGGCCAGGCTACAGAGCGCTGCCCGACAGCTCCCCACCCGCAGCGTGTGCATGGGGGCCGGAGGTGGGGGCGGGGAGAAGGGGGGCATCCGCCTGCGCTTTCTGTGGCAATCCTCGCTGGCGGCAAGTCTCGCCCAGGCGCTGGCCCCGCCCCTGCCAGCCCTGGCAGAATGTGGACCGCGGGAGCCGGACTCCGTGCGGCCGTTTGTGAGGAGCAGGGAGGCCTCTGGCACGGGTGGCCTCGCCTCTGCCCACGCGCCTTGGAAGCGAGCACACGCAGGGGCTCGGTGCAGGTGATTGAATTTACACCAGAAACGCGCGTGAGAGCCCCGCGGACCCTGTCTGGCGGCAGCGCGGCAGGTTTCTTCGTCGTTTCCACGTTGCCCTGGGCGCTGGCTGGTGACCGTCGGGGGTGGCAGGGCACCGAGGGGCCGCGGAAGCGCCTCTGCAGAAGGCCAAGCGCGCCCATGGCACCGGGCCCGCCTGCAGGTGCGGCTGAGGGAAGAGCACTTGCCGCCTCACCCCTACGCCCGCTCAGTCTGCTGCGGCCGCGGCGCGGTGGAAGGCGGCGGGTGCTGACAGTGCCCCTCTGTGCTCGCTCTGTCGTTTCATCTTCCGCCCCTGCCTTCCCGTCCCCTCGCATCCCCCGCGGTGCTTGGAGCTGTTCCTCAGTGGTGTGGCCAGGTCTTCAAGGGTCCACCCGCCGGCGAGCCTGGCTTGGTGGGCAGGCGATGTTCAGGCGGAGCTCGCGCGCAGCCGGTAAGGCTCCACTCTGGTGACACAAGGCCACCTCCTGGCGCGGCCCCCCGTAATTTCGCTGCCCAGTGTCCACCTGTGTCTCCCTGGGACGCACCGCTGCCCAGCTCTAGTTCATTTCCTGTTTGGGTCTCACAGCTGCTGGGCCAGCTGCCGTGATCGCGTTCACCTTTCTCAGCGCCTTTTCCTCGCTTCCTGATTTCAGTGGCGGCCTGCTGCTGTACAGGTGTCTACCCGGCCTGCAGAGCCGGCCGGCTGCTGGCGAGCCCCTGGGGCTTTTGCTTTCCTGGGAAGCTGTTGCTCTCCCCTTGGGTCCTGGCCCATGCCCCTCCCGGAGTACAATTCTGCTGGGAAGTTTCTTGCGTTCAGCAACTCTGGAACGCACATTTTCTGTAGGGGAAAAAGGAACTAAGAGCTTTTGTGGCGTTTCCTTTGCATGAGGAAAGCTGTTTTTTTTTTTTTTCCTGCCTCTGCTTTTAAGATTCTGTCTTTAACCGGCAGCATTTTAATTTTAATGGGCCTTGGTACGGCCGCTTTGGGGTCCTGGCACTCGAACTCTCTGGACCTCCTGCACTTGAATGTCTAAGCTTTTCCCCAGACCGGGGAAGCTTTCAATCATCAGTTCCTCACCTCATTTTGTTGGCGCTTTCTCTTGCCCTTCTGGGAGCCCTCCCTGTGCTTATGACGCATCTTGATGCTGTCCAGGCGTCTGTGGGAACACGGTTTTCTGGGTCCCTCCCTTCCCTGGGCCTCGGTGTGCTCTGTGCAGGGGGGCTGCTCACAGCCCCTGGCCGCGCTGCCGCCGCAGCTCTGAGTCTGCAAGGTCCGCGGGTTCTGGGTCAGAGGACGCTGTGTTGAATGCCGGTGGCTGCCCCGCGCCGGCTGCCGCCTGTGCGCCCCCTTCTCCCCAGCCTTAACCTGAGAGCCCTTGTGCTGTGCATGTCCAGTAGTTGGATCTCGCTGCAGCAAACTAGCTGCGATGTAAGTGTCTGGTTATTTTTATTCTTCTGATTTACTTTACGTAAGTCCCTCCTTCCATTTTGTTGGAAACAGCCACTCTCCATCTTTCCTTTCGGCTGGCTGGCACTCGGCTGTGCCACTGTGTCGGCAGCGATCTCGTGGGGGTCGCCACAGGCTCAGTAAGACAGAGGGACAGCTCCATGACAACAGCCCTGCCGTCCGCATGTGCAGGGGCCGGCCCCTAGTTTGTCAGGCAGGCAGACCCCATGAGGGTGGTCATCGGGGTGTCTCTGTCTAAGACTGGGGTGCTTGCCGACCGGTGTCACCACACCGGATCCTTTCCGTGCCGCTCTGGTTCTCCTGGGCTGCTTTCTCACGGGCCCTAAGTGTCAGGAACCCAGGGTCTCTCCTGTAGTCCCACCTTTGCCACCCCCGGATGTGAACGGTTGGGCCTCTGGCGGGGTTTCTCCCTCAGTCCCAGTCTAGGAGGAGGGTTCCCTCTCCTGCCTCTCGATGCTGCTGCCTTTTTACTCTTTTGTGCTCAGAAATTGTTTATCTAGCTCTCGGGTTACTTTTGAGTAAATAATCCATATTTATTTGTGGATTTGTTGTGTCCATGGGCAAAAGTAAATTTAGATTCACTATTGAACTGTGTGCGTAAATTGTAACATATTCAGTTACCTCCCTGGGGTGGGCTCATAGGAAGTTCTTGCCGTACTGTGCAGCGGGGAATAGCTACAGGATATACTATGGCGTGGACAGAGCAAGCGCAGGAACCTGAGCTGCCTGGGGATATATATTGGTACGGGGTAACCACGGCTACTTGAAGTGGAAGTGAGATGGCTGTTCTGGAGGGAGCTCTGGCTATGTGCCCGCTGGCACCCTCCCACGGAGTGCCCATTTGTCAGTAAATAGGACCTTGCGCGTAGGCACATTGCTTCCACTAACACCAAGCTATGGGCATTCATTCCTGAATTTTGCTAATGCTCATCTATGTGGGGGTCCAGCTTATTATGAGCAGAAAGTTGGGCCATGGAAAGACCTGCAGTTCCTGGGTGGTCTGCTTTATGTGAGTGGTTTTCTGGCTGGACACTGTCCGTTGTCTGTATGAGGTAATTTGAAGCAGAGAGTTCCAGCTTGTGGGTTGCAGATTCAAACGTGTGTTAAATAAGTTAATTAAATTCCTTCACAATCTGTGGCTAGTGGTTAACAAGATTTTCTATTTCAACTCTGACTCCCTCTGTCCTCATTTGGTAAATGTTTGTGCATCCAAATCACTCTTAGAAAATTAATGCAAAGTCTTATTTCTCCATCTTTCTTTGGCCACCTGGCAATAAACAGCAAATGTAAGAGACAGACAAGTCAGAGGCAGAGGAAAGTTCAGGAGGGGAGATAAATTAGAAACAGATGGACAGATGGAAAAATACTCCATTTGAATTTAAGAAAATCTATGCACTGGCAAAGCATAATGAATTATTTGGCCGAGGTAGCATAGAAGCTCTTTTGTGTCTTTTACAGCCCTGGCAACTAGCAGATTGTGAACGTGTTTTACATTGTATTCACAAATATTTCACACTTAACCTGATGGAACTTAACAGGCTAGAGCGAACAGCAGGGGAAACTGCCCAAGCCACTTAACGGGTCGTTCTTCTTAATAAGGCGCAGATGGAGCCAGCCGGTGGGGGTGCGGAAGGGGAGAGAGCGGGTGCATTTTACACAAATATGTTCAGTTCTGTGAAGCACTCATTTGCTAAACTTCTGTATTTCGGAGCCACACATTAGAATTTATTTGTGAATAAATATGCACTATGTTTTACGTTGTACCCTAGACTATGTCACCCACCACACAGCTGGTGCTTAACAAGCTGAGACACAGGAAGGGAACTGGATGGGGAACTTGGGAAACATCTTCCCGTCTGATCAGAGCTTCAGTTCTCACTCTGGCAGAGAAGAGGCTGGGAAGGGAAGGGAAGGAAGAGCCCGTGTTCGTTCGAGAAGCTGTGTCACACGCGCAAGGCCATCTACGACCTGCGTTCTGCAGGTGCAGCTCATTGTGGCTTTTGCATCGCGCTTCCCCATGACGCGTGCCGAGGGCGCCCTTCCTGCTCCCGCGGCGTCTTTCCTTTTTGAGTTGTGGGCTTCCGTATGTATGTAGGTCGTATGTAGGTCGGCTGCGACCTCTTTCAGATGCATGCTTTGCAAGTGTTTGGGCCCATCTGCAGGCTGCCTGTTTGGCTGATGGTTCTCTGCTCCGCGAAAGGCTGTTACCTGGATGCACTTCCACGTCTTTGCCCGTGGCAGCCGGCGCTTTTGGTGTCACAACTCGGCACCAAAGCCAGCGTCAAGATGTTTGTGATGCTGTGGAGGCTGTCTGTAAGCGTCCGAGTATTTGTGCTGCCTTCAGTTTAGTTTAGCAATGTGCTGCTGTTTTCTGTATGCGCATCTTTCACCAGCTTGAGTATTTTACTGATGCTATCAGTATTTATAATCATCTTTTTGAACGTGTATAAATGGGGCTGTTTTCTTTCTTTCTGTTTTAGAAAATATGTTGGCAGTATCTAGAAGTGCCAGTGTTTTCTGTGTGCTGGCTTTGTAGACCGAAGCCCTGCTGAACTTGAACTTATTTTTAGTGGCCTTTTTAAGGCTATCTATGACGCCATCTGCAAGCAGCTCTGTTTGGGGGTTACTATGTCCCTAATATATGCCTACTTGCTCTTTCTGGGACTCCCAGGCCTGTATCAGTTTTTGCCCATTCAGTGTGACTTCAGCTGTGGGCTGGGAATACGCTGCATTTATTGTGTTGTGCTACATTCTTTACACGACAATGACCGAGCTCTGTACCGAAGCAGGACGTTGTTTTGTCCACTGCTGTCCTGTAGTGCTCACCGTGTGACATCCTGTCCTCCAGCCTATTGTTGACTTGAGCCCTCCCTGCATTCCAGACCAAGCTCAAAGAGCAGCTGAACCCCGCGGCCCCGCGTTTGTTGCGAGTGTTCGCACCTGTGCTCTTTGGCGATCCTGGCCTGTCACCCCCTGGTCCCCACTTGGTTTAGGTGTCAGGGTGATGCTAGCCTTCTAAAACGAGTTTGGGGGTGTCCTCTTTTCAGTTTTCTGGGCTAGTTTAAGGAGGCTCGGCGGGCGCCCATTCTTCAGGCAGGATTCACGCCTCACGTTGTCCCCTTATCCAGGGTTGTTGTTCCTTCGCTGGGAGCTGTGTTGTCAGTGAGCCCGTCCCTGTCCGAGACAGCCACCTGGTCAGGCTGTTCCTCACGAGGTGCTGGATCACAGTCTGCTGTCCAGAGCGGGCCCAGGAGCTCTGTGGGAGGTGGGACTAGCTGTTGCTTTGCATGTTAGGGTGGCCCTTAGGTGTTACTTCCCAGGTGATGTGGGGGAGACCTGGCAGTGACCCTTCTGACAGGTGTCCAGGCGGATGGATTTTGAACCCCTGCACTCACCATTCCGGTGGCTGTAGGAGGCAGGGCGTCCTGCCCCGCACAGCTCACCTGTCGGCTGGGCTGCAGGCCATGCTCTGAGTTGGCTAGACTCTAATCAGTCCTGGCAGCTGGCAGGGGTCAGGTGCCTGGCCAGACCTCCGTGCACTCGTGGCTACAAGCTGCAACCCCTGAGCCAGATGTCCCCAAGTGCCAATTCCTCTGGGGTTGCCCGTGAGGGGGAGTGGATTTGCAGGGGAGTCCTGGGAAGCTCAATGTTCTCCAGCATCTGGGGAAAACATACCCAGAGCTGATCTTCTAGGGCAGGGAGGATCATGGCAAAGAGGAATGTTTCTCTCGCCTTTCTCAAGTGATCATTCTGCTTGTGATGCTTCAGCCTTAGTCTCTGGCTCAGATTCTTTACCCAGCTGGCGTTGTCTGTAGATAATATGCATTTTTGTGGTGGGATAGAGAGCCAGGAAACTCGTTTCACCATCACGTGGATGTTGATTGCTGAGTTTTCAGAGTAGACAGCAAGATAGAAATTGGAGAAAAAGCTAGACAGGGAGAAGATTGAAGACAATATATTCAGTTATTTATAACACATGGTTGATTTGGTAAGTTTTTGACAAGTTAACTCGCTTGGCTTTCTAGACTACAGATTATAGCTAGTTGATGATATTTACTGTATTTTATGTTAGATATTTCCCATTAAATATATTATCCAATACAATAAATAAGAATTAGGGGTGTTAGAGTAAGATAGGGAAGCAGGAAAACTAGCTAATTCAAGCCCAACACTATCATTACAAATAACCCCCAGTGTCGCCTCGTGGAGAGGGCCGGGCGGGAAGGACAGAAGTGAAAAACTGAGAAGCAAGGTTCCGTCGTTGTGAGTAGCTCATGTGTGAGCTTGCTGGGGGGTCTGCAACCCATCCATGTGGGTTTAGTACCAAGGGAGGTGGGCAGGAAGCGGCCTCCTTGGGGGGACCTGCCAGAAGCAAATGCAGGCGAGGGGGGCGGGGAGCGAGGGGTCTCAACTGAAGGGAGTAGTGGCGCAGGCAGCGTGGGCCTTCGGGGACCCCGAGGGGTTGGGGCTCTACTCTGAGACACAGAAAGCCAGCGGTGTCTCGGGCAAAGTCAAGACAGAACGTGACTTAGAGCTGCCAAGACTGCCCCAGGGGGCCGAGACCCCTCGACGGGCTGGGATGGCTTAGCGCATGGTGGTGGGAGGCGGCGACCGCCACCAAGGCGCAGCACTCACCTGTCTGGTGGCTGAGGGCACGTCCTGGCGCTCCCAGAGGCCCCAACACAACTTGCTTTGGGTGTGAGGGTAGGAGCTGCGCGGACGGAACCGGGGCCCACCTTGGTCCCCCAGTGCTTATCCAGGCGCATCCACCTGCTCTCTCTCTCCAGGGGAATACGTCGTCATGACAACCCACTTCCACCTGAAGCGGAAAATTGGCTACTTCGTGATCCAGACCTACTTGCCGTGCATCATGACTGTCATCCTGTCACAGGTGTCTTTTTGGCTCAACAGAGAGTCTGTCCCCGCCCGCACGGTCTTCGGTGAGTGCTGCGGGTAGGTGGGAGGACTATGGGCCTTGTGCGGGACATGCAGAGGGGAGGGGAGGCCGCCACCCAGCCCGGGCCTGTCTTGCCCGCAGTTCTCAGCAAGGAAGCACAGGCGCAGAGCCAGGACAAGGTGGCTGCAGGCTGGCAACCGGCCTTCTCGCCGCTGACTTACCTTTGTGGCATGGGTGTCTGCTGTTTTTCCTCTAGCTTCTTTTGAAAGTATGAATCATCTGAAAGCGCCACCGACTTTGAAGGCTTCTGCAGTATAGTTTAACTTTCCCGGTGCCTAAGGAGAGATTTAAAACATATAAAACTCGATCTGCCGTCTTTGCGGCCCGAGGTCAGGGCTGGGAGGCACACACCTAGACGTGCTAGGCCCCACACAGGCGGGCAGTGGAAAGACAGGTGCCAGCGGGAGAGCCACTGGGTGCAGGCTGGGCCACCACAGCTGTCCTTTGGTCGGTGACAGCTCGTGACTTCCAGTGAAGGCAACTTCTACCGACAAGGACAGGGTAGGTTGCAGGTGCCCAAGTTTGGAAATATAACAGACTTGATCCCCTGAAAAATCTTCCTCTTCAAAATATTAGAAAGCACTCTTTTTAAGATCCGGGCTTATACCAAATTAAAGGAAATATTCAAGGGCCCAACTGGTAAAAGGAAAGAGATGTGATGCCATCGCGAGATGTGCATGGATGACCGGTTCTGGTGAACGACACAGGCGACTTTGGGCCTGTGTTAAAGGCACAGACAGGGCCTTTAAAAAATTAGCCACACCCTCGCCCCTGGAACCTGTGAACATTACCCTGAACCGCTAAAGGGGCTTCGCATGTGTGGACTAAGTACATTAAGCGTCCAGAGACAGGAAGGGGGCCTGGAGGGCCTGAATGCCAGCACCTCTGCCCCTGGAAAGGGAGCAGCGCAGCTGACAGCGACATGATGAAGAAAAAGGAGTGATTGGAAGGTCCGTGTGTGGCCAGGAACGGGAGAAAGGGGGCCCTTGGGCCAATGAGGCAGCGGTGGGTACTGTCTGTGAGACGGGGCTGTCACCTTGACTTCAGCAAGTGGCCTCTGCCACCATACTTGCGGCTCTTGTTACATAAGCCCCAAGAAGACAAAAGAAGGATCTGCTGCAAAAATAAATCCAGTACCACACTGGAACAACAGTCACCAGTGCATGGAGACAAGAAGGAAATATGTCTGTGTTAGCCCGCACATTGTGTAGAATATAGGATTCCTGATGAATTTTTTTTTAATTCAAATTTGTCCTCCTCAGAGTTGAGAGTTCCCATGTACTCCACCTGCACCGATGTCAGAACCTTCCACTTGGAAAACGCAGCGTTTACGTAGGGCCAAGCATCCAGAGGAGCCAGTGTGCGTGTGAGGGAGCTTGCTCGGTGGCAGGAGTGGGGAGGAGGCGGCAGAAATTGAGAGAGAGCGGTGCTGGTGCAATGTGAAGGGAAGCCGACCCGCCGGGCCGGTGAGGCTGGGGTTGACCGCGGCCTTGAATACAGAAGCTACAAACGCGGTGCTCTTAGAACTCGATACGAGCGGGCTCTTTGCAGCCTTCTCGGTACACAGAAATAATGGCGTTGAAGGAAAAAGAATAAATGGGACTGGATCAAAATGAAAAACTTTCCCTCATCTAGGGTAACATTAAGAAAATAAAAAAAGGCCAGCCCAGGACTGGAAGAATAAATTTCATACATGTCCAGATCGGACGAAGCATCTACTCCAGAAATAAAGACTCCTGCAACCTAACAATAAAACACTAAGACTCCAGTTTTAAAAACTGGAAAAAGGCATGAATAGACGTTTCACCGTGTGTGTATAAACAAACACCATAAGCACCTAAAATAGCATTTTAAATCAGGGAAATGCAAATTAAAATGACAAGTGATGGCGAGAACACATCATAAATGTCAGTGCGGAATGAAAGACTGACGGCCGAGGAGCTGTGCTGCCGAGGCCGTAAAGTGGAGTAACCGTGGAGGGAGGCCCTGTGTCCCTGATGTCTCAGTACTTCACTCCTAGGCGCACCTCCAAGTGAAAGGAGAGCAAATGTGCCCAGCGAAGGCAGGTGTGAAAATGGCCACAACTGCTTGTCCCGTCCAAGCTGCAACCTGGAAAGCACACAGCCGTCCCTCAGCATCTTACTGGCACATTCAGACGTGTGGAAAGCTAAGAACCCAGACACAAAATAATCTGTATGGTTCTGCGTATGCGAACTCCCACAACAGGCAAAGCGAGGTTAGGGCGTGAGACAGCAGTGGCGCTTCCCCGAGGTGGCAGGCTGACCAGAAGCGGCCTACGGAGCTTGCCGGCGGGGCTCCGTGTCCTGATTGGGGCAGTGGTTACATGACTGTAGATCAAGACCTAATTAAAAGCACCTCCAGGGCGGCAGAGAACCCGAGTTAGCAAACTTTCAAGTAGCTGTGCCGAATACGTTTAGGTGGAGAAAAGAAACATGAGATTTCCAGCATGTTAAGTATGACAGCAGGCTCGCTGGCGATTCTAAAACAAGAACGTGGATCTGAAGCTCAGTGGCAGGGAGAACCCCGGCACCGGAAGGAAGTCCTGACTGTGAAGCCCAGAAAGGTAAAAGGTATGAGATGTACGAGAGAAAGGACAGTTCTTCAGTGAGTGTGCGGCAGATCTGCTTGGAACCCTACAGGGAGAAGAGAGGCAGGCTGGCACTGAAGCAGCTTTTGCAGAGATCATGTGGGACCATCGCCACAATTCAACAAGTCCTGCGAACCCAAGAGGATAAATTAAGACATGGAAACAGAATTATAATGAAACACCTGAAAATAAAGAAAAACTTTATTTTTCTGTGAAGTCAGTTTCTAGAAACTGACTTCACAGAAACAATGAAGACACTTTCAGACAACATTCTTTATCACAGATACTCGTGAATGGGAGTTCTCCAAGCAAGAGAAAAATAATGCCGGAAGGGATGTGTGAAACACACTTCAAGAGAATGAAAATAATGTACGTCTACATTACACATGTGGCTCTCACACATCCCCCTGCCGGACTGTTACAAGGCATGGGCGCTGCAGGAAGCCGTGTGGCGTCCTCACGTCAAGGAAACAGCATGCTGATGGTGGCCCCTCTACCCGGAGAGACACTTGTGTGCGAGCCTGCCTGCCGGCAGCTCTGCTGCTAAGAGTCAGACACTGTAGCAGCCCAGATGACCATCAACATATGAATGGATGAACAGACACCTTAGCTCAGTGCAGTCGGCGAAAAACTGCCGCGAAACCACAGGATGAGCTGAGAGCAGCACAGGAAGGGAGCCGAGACCCTCCGGATTCTGTTTAGCAAAGGCCTGTTAGCACGGAAGAACCTTACAACTGGCGGCACCTGGGCTGAGTGAGTTCACAGGGCTCTTGCAGGGGAGTCTTCACAGGCGCTGCCTGCTGGTTGGGGCCCCAGCCCTACCCAACATCCGGACCGCAAATCTCTGCCTGCTTGGCACGCCGCGTCTGCAGCACTCGACGGGAACTGGTGTCATCTGCGGGAAGCAGACTTAACAGCGAGGCTGAGAAGGTTGAGAAATAGAGTGGCAAAGGGGGTTTCTCTTGAGAGCGACCCATTGAAGCTGTCTTCACCCCCAGGAGAGAGGCTTTTTCTGTCTTTTTTGGATGACAGTAGTGATGAGCCGCCTTTTGAGAACCAAAAAGGTATAGCCGACAGGAACGAGAGCTCCATTCTGTTCAGCTCAAACGAGGGGCGCGCATTCAGAGGCAGGCTGGGAACAGAGGTGAATTGCCTTTTTACAGCAGCGTGATGGGAGTGGGAGAACTTGCGAGAAGGCAGCTGGCGAGGAGGAGCAGGCTGAGTTCTGCTCAGAAACCTGCTTCACACGGCTGTCTGAAGCCTGAACGGCGAGTCACTACACATCGCCTGTGTGGTGGCGCCTGAGTTGACGGTGCTCGTGTTGGATTAGCGCTGGGCGTCTCCAGGCAGAGCGACGGCCCTGTTTGGTGGTGGGGTACCCCTCGTGCCAGACTCGGCGAGCGCACAGCAGCCAATACTGAAAGGGGTGTAAGCACACCTCACTGGCGGTGATCGGTACCCAGGGCAAATACACGCTGCACTGCTCGCACACACCAGCGGGCTCCCCCGTGCCAGGTCTTGTGTCCAGGGTTGCAGAGGCAGAGGCAAACTAGTCAGCTCTTGGCTTGGTGGGACAGACGTAGGCTAGCACAGATGTGAGCCAAAGAAGTGAGGTTGAGCAGTCACCAAAAAAAAAAAAAACTTTCTTGAAGAAGCTCCAACCGTGGGCGGCAGGCAGGCCTGGATAGATTTAAAATGCCAAGCCTGTCTTGGTGCAGCCGCGGGTACTTGATTGAGAGCCCTAGCAGGCGTGGCTACTGGGAGCTCTTCATGGGACGACAGGCTAATTAAACCCTCGGGACCAGGGCTCTAGACCGCTCTGGAGATCGGCAGAGTGCTCATGTCACCAGGCGGCCCTCGCCGCGCTCCAGGGTGCGCGCTGAGTGAGGTGACTCATCTCTTCCTGCGCAGTGTGGCCAGGTGCCCTGAGGCCTGGCTCATCTCCGGGAGCGCCAACCAGGGCTGGCTCCGGGCTGGGCTTGCGACACGCCTCTGCTCCCGCATCTGTGCGAAGCTGTTCCTTTAGGTCTCTGTCTGAAGTGATTTCTGGCCTGGGTTTTTCACCTGTGTAGCAGATGCATGACAGCGAGGTACTCAGGAGAAGCCGGCTGTGGGCGGGCACTGGAGCCTGAGGGCCCCGTGGCTGGTGCGCTCGTAGCTACCAGGCAGCGGGCCGTGGCATGCTTGCTCTTCTCTGACATGTCACCCCACCAGGACTTCCTTCTAGCCCACTTGCCCAGCTGCTGGCCGGGTGCACACTGGGCAGACTGACCAGGCCTGGGCTCTCCACCCTTGTCCGAACCTGGAGCAGCGTGTCCGGGGGTACTCACGGGTGGCGACATTGGCAGCACCCAGAGTAAGGAAACTGCCCAAGATACAAAGGAAGTGACTGGCACAGGCAAGCTCCTAGGGTGGGTGTATGCTACGGATTTTGTCACTAGGACAGTAGTCGCCACTGGTACAGACGACAGCACTGATCTCAAGCTACTATTTAGTGGGTGATTATTTTCTGCAAGGCCTTGTGCTGCAGACTCTGTGGTATCATCTCCTTGGACCCCTCCCCCAAAGCCGAGTCTGACATTATCCCCCACATTTCTTTCACAAGCAATGAAACTGAGCTGGCGTGGGCTAAGGCCCCTCACTGCGGGCTGCACAGCCAGCGCATGGGCCTTCCGCTCTGAGCCTGATGCGCTCGTCGTTAAACCACAACAGGAAGGTTAGGGAAACAGCGACGAGAATCTACATGTGGATAACCAGGCATGTTACATTTAGATCAAGTAGCATCACCAAGAATTGAGTCATCTAAAAATAAGCTCTGGTTGTGCAAAAACAATATTTTGGATGAGTGTGGGTGCTTCATGGGGCTCAGCAGGGCCGAGGCTGGGGAAGCGGCCTTGTGAGCATGTCTGGGACGAGGGAAGTGAAGGCCTTACTAAGTCGTGCCCCGTCCGAGTGCTGGGCTTTGTTCCGGACTGCTCAGAAGGGAACCGCAGGCTCGGGGCGGCGCTGTCTGGAGGCGGCGCCGTCTCTCTGCTGGCGAGGAGCGAGCAGCGGCTTCTGCCTGGCGGAGGTTACTGTCATTTCTCACAGTGAAACAGGCCCGTAGCCTTGTGCTCTGGAAGCCACAGGAAACTGGCTGGGCCGGAGGGGTGGCCTGCTGTCACCCAGGGAGGCACTCGGTGACATCCTGTGGCTTTCCTTGCAAGGGGTGCTATGAAGCGGGCTCAGTGCCACCTCTCCTGGAGGGAGCGAGGCCTTGTGGGGTACGAGGTCTCCAGTGACGGCTGGTTGTCCTCTCCCCAGGTGTCACCACTGTGCTCACCATGACCACGCTGAGTATCAGTGCCAGAAACTCCTTGCCTAAAGTGGCGTACGCGACGGCCATGGACTGGTTCATAGCCGTCTGTTATGCCTTCGTATTTTCTGCGCTGATTGAGTTCGCCACTGTCAACTACTTCACCAAGCGGAGCTGGGCCTGGGAAGGCAAGAAGGTGCCTGAGGCCCTGGAGATGAAGGTGAGCCAAGTGACAGTCGAGGCTGGGAGGCCCTCTTTGACAGACCAGGATTGGAACCAGGAGTGAGAAGCCTGCAGCCTGCGCCCACCTGGCCGGGGCTGTGCGCTCCTCACTGGGGTCACCAATCCTGCTCTCGACGGGAGTGCCTCTCAGCTGCGGGAGCGCTCGCTGGAGGGCGGGTGGCCTGGAGGGTGGCTGCTGGTGATGGGGAGCAAAGTGCAGACTCGGACTCAAGGAAGACAGTGTGGAATGTCTTCACCCAGTGAACACTCTTTAGAGCCACTTTCCAGGATGTTCCATCACGCCCGCCAAAGTGATTGTTATCATCACTTAAAATCACCCACCAGTGATTCAGTTTTTACCTGGAATGTTCTAGATTCCTGCCTGGTAAATACCTATTCACTCCTCAAAACCCAGATAAAAGTGCTATTTTGGCCACAAAGCCTCTTCAGAAGCACCCAGCTAGCTTTGGCTTTTCTTGGTAGGGAGCATGCTCCTGGCAATACAGCATTCACTTGTGTGAGAGCCGGTCCTCCGCCCCTCGCTAGACCACACTTGTCGAGAGCAGGGACGGGCCTGCGTTACTTTCTAACTAGCCAGCCTCCGCGTGCAGCTTCTCAGTCCTAAAGTGGGATAAACATCCCTCGGGTTGGTGGGAAGGAAGAAAAGACAATAAACCCACTGCAGTTGCTGGACTTAAGACAGGAATATAGTGAAATCAAGATTATTGTCCTTGGCAGCTTTCAAAGAGTTTCAGCCTTTAGGTCTCGAACAGCAGCCAGAGATGCCACAGACTAGCCGCTGTGGCTGCAGAGACACTCCAGCATTCGCGAGAATCCTGGGAAAAGACAGGAGTTTTCAAATTGGACGAAGAGCTAGATTCCTTAGACTACTAACCAGTGACTTGGCAAGATGTTAGACCAGCTCTCAACTATTCAGCTAGCTAGTTTATTAACTCCTTGCTATCCATTATGAGAAAACAAGCATATTTCTACTTCCTCCATCTGCTCTACCACAGGACGCCTTTGGTCGCTCTTATACGTAGTTTAGCTGTCCCCACTGTGTCCTTCAAATACATCCACGCACACGGTGCTGGGGGTTCAGCTGACCCTTGTGTGGCCCAAGCGCATGCGCACACTTCCCTCTCTCTGCTAGTCCCTGTCAGCCAGCTTCACTCACTGCATTACAGTTTCTGTGCTGTCAAGTTCCAGAGCATTTACGTGCACTCGTGCAGCAGGCTTCCTGTGCTTGATGAGTTAGTCTACCTTTCAAAGAGCTCTGTTCTCCAAATGGCCTTTACCCATTTTTACATTCATTGCTTAGGTACTGCGAGGCTATCCTCTAAAAGTTTAAGAAGGGCCCATGGGGGCCACACTTCCGACTGCCTCGCACGCGTGAGAGCACCTGTCCCCAGGGTTCGTACTTGTGCCAGAGTGGGGCTGTTGTCTAACTCACGGTCAGTTTCTTCTCTGATGTCACGCAGCCTTTGCGTGCTCTCTTCAGCTCCTCTGATGCTGGCACACAGAAATCCAAAAGCAGCCTGCCACTCTGCCCCCAGCAGGGACTTGATCTTATTGCCTAGAATGTGTCTTTTATTTACAAATGTCAGTGCCTTTTCAAGGTGTATCTTGATCTGTGTGAGTTTTTTCATGGGACACCGTATGATCGCCTAAGCCTTGTAGATTCATAGTTGTTTCTGTTTCAGGGAGGCCTTCCTGAATGCTTATACAAAAAAAAAATTTAAAAAAAATGGCTCTGGACTAGAAAATCTTACCTCAGGTGCACATTACAGATAAGAAGCTGAGATACGGAGACTTCACATCAGCCTTGAAAATCAAACTTGATTTGAATCTGAGTTAAGAACTATCTAGAAAAAGTCTTAAGCCCCCCTTTTATTCTGTATTGGTTGGACCATGTTGAAGGCACCTGGTTCCAGTTCGGCTATTGTGGAGGAAGGACAAATGTCTGGAGGGCATGATGATGGCTAAGTGGAAGTATCTGAAAGGCAGTTACGGATGCCTTGGGAAAATTTGGTAGGTGTTTTCTGAGGTGCGTGGGTGGTCTGAAGGCAGAGTGGGAATTAATTAGATGAACTGTTTAGAGATTAGAGATGTAGATGTCAAAAGGGATGGCCATCCCTTTTGTCAAGCAGGACTGTAGTGTCAAGCAGGACTGAGAATGAAAGAACAAAAAGAAGTGTCTTAAGCTCCTGTGCATGTTTCTCCTCAGTGCCCACCTATGTGCATCATCTAAAAGGCGGCAGCTAGGCAGTTTGACAAGCCCTGTGCAGGCAGAGGTGGGCCTCACATGTGAGCCTGCTGTCTTTGGTCTAGCGCTGCCTCAGTGAGAGGTACCAGCCCACTAGGGAGAAATCAAGCGCACTGCAGTAACAGCATTTCAATCTCAATTATTTCAGTTTTTTTCCTCTTTTAGCAGCTATATTAAAGCTTTTTTGCTTCATAAAGCTAGTCTGGTTGAGTCCGAGACTTTCAAAAAAAAAATCAATGATTTCAAAATTATTTCTGACCTGGACTGTGATCAGGCGTTAGAGAAAGAGTGGGGAGAGCTATTACAAAGGAAAAGGGGTAGCTGGAAGCGAAACCTTGTTTTCAAATGAAGACAAATGACTTCCTTGAAAGAGCATCCTGAAAACAGACGAACTGTGGGCTTCTGAGAAGCAACGATGTGTGTTACTCCCTGCGCCTTTTGAGCAGCAGACTCAGATGGAAGCAAGCAAGCCCTGGCACGGGGGAACTGGAGAAGGGATTTTGGTCAGACAAAGGAGTTTCATGATTTTTAGAAGAATGAACACAGGGAAACAGTAAGAACGGAGTTATCAAGCTGGAGTAAGGTAGGACCCTGGGGAAACATGGCGTTCGAGGAGCTAGACAGCAGAGAAGAAAGCAGGGGCCCAAGGAGGGGACAGGAAAAGCCTGTGCACAATAAGTGGTCCGGACCGGAGTGTGCCCCGTGCCCATGGGCAGTACACGCCCCAGAGAGGGCAGCGTTATTCTTAAGAAGCTGGAAGTCTGCAGAAGAAACGCTTCTATGTTCTGGCATCTCGGAGGCTGCCCCCTAAGATGGCTGCTGCTGACTGACCTTAGTCGCAGTCTCCACGCAACCAGCCCGGCTCAGGCCCCCGGGGCTGACAGACCCCTGCATGTGACCGAGTGATACCGAGGCACGGCGTGCTGAATAAACTCTGATGCGGAAGAACAGCAAAGACGAAAACAAAGGAAGAAAAAAGCAAAATAGAAAAGCGCATCGTGGAGGAACAGATAATTTAGAGAATTCATCAGAATTTGAGAACAAAGCTACCTTTCATCTTAGATTTGTGGCTGTATTGCATCCGCAGAACAAGAGTATGATACCAACATAAAAGGAAATCAGAGGATGAGGAAGAACTCTTGAAATTAAAAAAAAAAAAATCGCCAAAACAAAAGTTTCAGTAGTGGCAGAAAAATAAACTGAAGGAAATCTCCCTAAAAGGCGATGAGAAACCAGCTGGAGAGCGTAGACGGGACGACGAGAGGCCGGGAAGGAATCCAGCAAGTTTGTCCAGCTGAGGCTGCCACGTGAGGGAGGACAAAAGGAAGGAGGTGAACAGACCTCCAGACTGAGGGTGGCCTGTGGGCCCACAGAGGGCAGATCATTATGGGATTTCAGAAGCCAGGGGTAAGGCAGTGGTCTAAAAGAAGGTCTAGAGGGGAAACATGTCAGCTATAAAGAAACACTGAGCAGAGGGCATCAGACCTCGTTTTTAACTTATGTACTGTTACTGCGATTACATTTTTTAATTTATAAAGAAACCCAAGTTAACATGAAGACGCCGTTCTCTGCATTTAAAAATTATTTATAGACAGTCTACAACAGAGGAGCGAGTGGATACTCTGGAACATGGTGCTGCCACGTGCGAGAGACGCCAGAGCACTGTCTCCTACATGCGTGGAAATCAACTCAAAATGATGAAAAGACTTGGCTGTAAGACCATAAATACATAGAAGACACCCCATGACACAACCTCGGGAACATCTTCGGGATTCTCCAACAGCAAAGAAAATGAAGGAGAAGATACACAACTGGGACTACATGAAACGGAAATGCTTGTACACAGCGAGAGACAGCGATGGAAACACTGAGACGCCCTGCTGGATGGCGGAGCATAGCTGCACGTCGCACCTCTAAAGTGGGGGGCTGAGATCCAGGATCTACAAAGAACTCAGCGAAGCAAACAGCCGGATCAGAAATGGACAAGCACTCTCCAAAGACATGCAGATTCTGAGAGCACTGGGAAAGTTCCCAGCCCCAGAGAAGTGCGGATCAGGGTCAGAAGCACAATGCCCGGAGGACAGCCCACTTCAAAGCAAAGCCCTGAATCTGCACATGCTGGCGAGGCTGCGGTGGAAAAGGCACCTTTCACCACTGGTGGGAATGTGAAGTAGCTTGGACCACCAGGAGACAGTGCGGGGGTCCTCAAAAGACAAAGTGATCTGCCTTGTGACCCAGTAATTCCACGCCGAGGTATCTGCCCAAAGGACACAAAAACAGTCATTGGAAAGGTCACCTGCACCCCCGTGTATTCATACTGGACCACTACTCAGCCGCCAAAAAAACAAACTGCTGCCATTTGCAGCAACATGGATGGAGCTGGGCGGGATGAAGCTAAGTGAAATAATAAGCCAGAGGAGAAAGACAAAGACTGCATGGTTTGGCTGGGATGCGGAATCCAGAGAAACCGAAGGACTAGACCAGCTTTAAAACCAGCCCTTGAAAGCTGACCACAGATGTGAAGCCTGCAGAGGGTAGGAGAGGCGAGCTCAGTGGACCAAGGGGAGGATTATGGGTGTCCATTTTGGTGGTGGGAGAACTATGATGACCACACCTGAGGGAAGAAATCCTATAGTGTGGAAAAATGAGGAAGGATGTGAAATAATGGTAGTTCTATAAAGCATTAAGTAATATGATTAGAATCGCTTTTAAATATAATTTGGAAGCACAGTCATTCTTAGGCTCATTTTCACAGGTCCAAATAAGACTATTGGCATGCTCTAGAATAACATTTTCTTTTCATTAGAGAAAATGCTCACCTTCCATCTAAGTCTTGGATAAGTTTGGTTTCTTTAATGCCTTCTAAATTTATGGGACATTCCTGTATACTGGCCTTTTCTCTGGGGGTCACTGATCTTCGCCCTGGGCTCAGGTGCACCCATCACCTGCCGGCCTTGCCTCAAATGCGGCCCAAGTGACTGCACCCTCCCACCTGTCAGGAAGAGGGTGCCAGCCGTTGCTTCCCTCCCACCTTCATCATAGCCCCTGTCAGCTGCTCGCCACCCTCTGCAGAGCCTCCTTTAGACTTGCTCTACTCGTTACTTGGACCTCTCGAATGCTGCCCTTGCTTTCTTCCTTAGATTTCTGTTATGGATTCAATTAATCTTCCTCACCAGAGAGCCTGAAAACTTCCCGGTGAATTATTTCGGTCGCACAGTTCAGTAGTACTAAGTATGTGCACATTTTTGTGCAGCCAGTTTCTGGGACTCTTCATCTTGCCACATGGAAATGCTGTCCCCAGAAAGCAAGACCTCAATCCTCCTCCCCCCATCTGGCAATCACCACCCCTCTCGAATTCCACGGGCCTGACCCTCACAGCAGCACACCTCCAGTTGTCTCTGCATCGCTGCTTACGCGCCCCCAGAGCCCCCAGGTAGCAACCGCGGCAGGACGCCTTCCTTCTTAAGGCCGAGCGGCTGCTCTTGGTACTAACAGCGCGCACACGCTTAGTCTCTCACAGACACGTCATGGCTCCCACCTCTTGGTTATTATAAGGAGTCGTGCTGCTGTGCACACAGCGTGTGCGTATGTCTCTCCAAGCCTTGCTTTCACCTTCGGGGCTGGAAGCCAGGAGTGGAGTTGTTGGGCCATTTTTCAGTTGTAGTTTTAATCTTAACTGCCTTCCCGTCGGCCATAGCGGGCACGCGCATTCTGACAGTCCTCACTGACACTTGCGGTGCTGCATTGGTGACAGGCGTCCTAATGGGCGTGAGGTGGCTTGCTGTGGTCAGGGTGCATGTCCCTGGTGACGGGTGATGCCGGTAGGTGCCGCGTGGGAGCCAAAGGCAAATCAGTACTCTGAGAAAACACCCAAGTGCAAAACAAGCAAAGAACCTGAACAGACATTTCTCCAGCAGAGAGGGACAAATGCCAGCAAGCGTCTCCGGTCATCGGGACGTGACTTCTGCTGTGATTCTCCCCTTCCACAATGTCAGTAAAATTACAGTGGCTGACTAAAATGCTGGAAAGGGTGAGGGAAATTAGAAGGTAATTTCCCTTCCTGACTTAAGAAATCTGCAATTAAATAGCTGCTGCTTCCCCACACCTCTGTAATACAAAGTGCCTGTGGCGCTAAAGAGAGCATTTGCCCTTGGGAATGAGGTGACTACAATACCACGCAAAGCTTCTAACTGAGGGTCCTTTTGTTTTGCTTGTAGTTTGTTTTGTTTATGCTTGAAAAGAAATTACTAAGCGATTTAATAAGCAAGCCGGCAAACAAGCCAAGTGTCCCTTGATGGCAAAGCATGGCCGCAGGGGTCTGTTCCCACAGTGGATGTGCTAACTGTACAGGAGTCCCGCGTAGTGTGAAGGTCTCACAAGTCTCTTCCAAGCCTCAGAGTTCTGTCCCCTTTCCGAGACACAGGCCTCAGACAGGAGGAACTCTAGTGCTTCTAGAACATCCTGTTACTCTGTTCACTTATGAATCCCGCTCTCAGGTTGAAAGCCTGTGCGCTGCCCCCACAAAGTCCCTCGTCCTCTCCGGACAAGCCACTGTGGACCAGTAGACCATCGGGCACTGTTGGCACAACTTACGAGGACCAGCGAGGTCTGGAGGAGGGGGTGAAAGTGAAAGCGGTAGGGCGGGGAAGGACGGGAGGCCAGACTGAGGGAGGGCAGCGAAGTGCCCTTGGGCAGGGAGAGCCTCACCAGCCCCTGTCCCTGCTCCCCAGCGCCAGCGCCTGAGACAGGGCTTGTTCCCTTGTCCTTCCAACTCCTCAGCCTCTTTCTGACCAGGCCTGAGCATCATCGCCTTCCCCACACAGTGGCTACCAGGAGACACAGGCCACGCGTGCGAGGACGCGCAGGCTGTTTCCCACTCGTGTGTTTTTGTTGCTCTGAGAAAGTAAAAGCCCAAAGGGCAAAGCCCTGGGAAGGCCTGGCCCCCTGCCGCAGCTGCAGGGGTGAAAGGCCTGCTGGGCGTGAGGGCAGACGCTGTTCTGATGGTACTGCGAGCCCAGCGAGCCCAGCGTTTGCTGCCTTCAGGCCAGAGGGGACGGTCAAGGTACCCTACTGCGTACAAAGAGCTCAAGTGACAGGCCCTGGGCGGCTGGTGTGAGCCTGCTCAGGCTGAGGCTGCTCATGTGTCAGACTGGGAACCACATCACCCCGCTCCTGGGGCTGCTGCGACAGTCAGATCGCAGGACCACGTAGAACACTACGTGAGACCCGCGTTTCAAAGTTTTGCAGTGATTTCTACCACCACTGTCACATCTGACCGTCCCAATAGCCCTGCCCGATCTTTTGAGCCTCAGTTTACACGTGAAGAAACTGATGCTCAAAGTGACTTTGCCGTGTCTCCCGGTTGCAAACATCTTCAGCCCTACACTCAAATCTGGCAACTCGGTACTACTGACTTCACGGTCCCTCCCTCCAGCCGCTGCAGGAGCTGTGTGCCATGAGTCAGTCACCTTTTTGCCCCCCTTCTTTTTCTGTCCCCTTAGAAAAAAGCACCAGCAGCCCCGGCAAAGAAAGCCAGCACCACCTTCAACATCGTGGGGACCACCTACCCCATCAACCTGGCCAAGGACACCGAGTTCTCCACCATCCCCAAGGCCGCGGCTCCGAGTGCCGCCTCCACCCCGACTGCCGTCGCCTCCCCCAAGACCACCTACGTGCAGGACATCCCCGAGACCAAGACCTACAACAGTGTCAGCAAGGTCGACAAAGTCTCGCGCATCATCTTCCCTGTGCTCTTCGCCATATTCAACCTGGTGTACTGGGCCACGTACGTCAACCGGGAGACGGCCATCAAGGGCATGATCCGCAAGCAGTAGGTGGCAGCAGCCAGAGCGCCGTACGCCCCAGGAAGCACCCAGGCACCCAACCCCCAGGGCTCCCCTTCATGTGTTTCAGGATTCTTTCCAGTGCTCTGCCAAGCTAGGACTCTCAGCAAGACTTACAACACAAACGATGATGTGTCCCCTAACGTGGCTGAGTGTGCCCCATCAGAGCCAAACACTGCCATCTGTCCAGTCGCCCACCTAGCCTGCGCCCCCCCCCCAGGGCACTGCATGCCTTTCGTGCACTCTGCCCACCACGGCCAGCAGGAGCGGCCCCCTGTGGCAGGGAGCTGGCCGGCCGGCAGGTCAGCTTCAGATTCTGCAGCACTAGGGCACGAGGCTGGGCTACCCCTGGCCCCGCCTGCCACCTCCTTAGCCGCGGGCCCAGCAGGCATGAGAACCGGTGGCGGAGGCAGCAGCCAGCGTAAACCTCCAAACGCGGGCCCAAGGCCCCGCCGCTTTACAGGCTGAGGCTAGTGGGGCCGCTGGACTCCCCTTGTCTACCCAGAGGGCCAAAACACATAGAACCAAGACGGCTGGTGCTCCCCGCGTCCAGCCTACCTCTCCTCTGGGAAGCCCCCTTCTCCTGAACCCTGTGACCCCCTAGTCAGCTGGGCACGGCTTCATTGGGGCTCTACTGCCCGCCAACTCTGGGGTAAAGATCAAATCTTTCTTACAAAAGAGACAAGCAGAAACAAAAATATCGAGGCCAAAGGCCTACACAAGCCTCTACTAAGCCAGAGCTTGGCAATGGGAAGGTGGCCGCCGGGCCAGAGCAGCACAAGACACTGGCCGGGGCAGGATACTTGGGGGCTCGGCCTGGTAGTCGAGGCTTCCAGTCTGGCGCAAGTGAGAGTCAAAGCTGCCTCCGTCCCCTGCCAGGCTCAGGCCTTTGCTCTGACACAGCAGGGGCGGCTGGCAGGGCACTGGTGTCACTGCCGGGGCGAGGAATCCGAGCCTGGTCGATTTTTGAGTTGCTTAGTCATTAGCTCAGGCTGATCATCTACTGCCTACAGGCCACTTGATAGCCACTTGCTCTTCACGTGAACAAAAGGACATTGGTAAGGGAGAATGGCAAATGTGTTATGCGCCAGATGGGCGAGTCTCAGAAGCTTGACGAACTCTAAGGCTCCTTACCAGTGTCTGCAGAGGCCTATCCTGGGAAGCCTGGCCCAGCTTGACTTAAGAATCCGCACAACCTCCACATGCCTGCTGGGTCCACATGCAAGTTTGGCCGCACACCAGAGAGGTTTTCAGGGTGTCACACTGGGCCACGCCAGGGACGACCTTGGCAGTCACGCCTCCAGGGCATGTGCAGCTGGAAGGTGGCAGTCCCAGCCAGTAGCCCAGAAGGGCCTGGAAGCCCGAGGTAAAGCCACAGATGGCGCGAAAGCAGACTCTCCCTGCCCCCCCCCCCATGAACTCCCTGAGGGGTCCGTTGTCAGTGCCGCCACTCTCCCCACCCCCAGCCCCGCTTCCTTGCCATCGCTGGGATGATGCATGCCCGTCCCGACTGTCTGTAGGTCAGTTCATGAATAGAAGAGTGTAGTGTGGGGGTGGGGGGGGGCAGGTAACGGCCATCTTGAGGATAAAGCGGAAGGCTGACCTTTGCTCCTGTACACATTGTGTTTCCAGTGCTTCGGTGTAATGTGTAGCGGCTGTTTATTAAACTCTTTCTGAATTGTCCTTGGGCTGGAGACCTTTTTCAGTCACTCTTCTCAGACAGGATCGTGTTCTCCCCCCACACACACACACTCACGCTCCCGGCGGCCTTTCCACAGTGCGCTGCGGAGAGTACGCCCCAGAGTTGGGCTCAGTCTGGCAGTTCTGGAACCGCTGGCAGAATGCCCAGCACACAGTAGGCTCTCCCCACGGATACCTGAGGCTGGTCTAGGGCACAGCTACTGGGCGAGGCGGGGCTTTCCACAGAGCAGAGGGGTGGCCAAGGGCAACCTTGCGACAGCCCCAGAAATAAGATCCCCATACAGTTCCCGAGTCGGCTCAAAGAACACCTGAGGACGGATGCGCTCTTTTTACGTCATTTCCGAAGATTTCCCACCTGGTCACTGCCCTCTGGGCTTTTCACTCGGGGCGGGGATGCCCGTGTGCCACCTGGCAGTTCCTTGCACTACAGTGTGAAGGGCAGGGAAGGTGTTACTGGGCACTGCCTCCTGCCAAAGCCCCCAGCTGTCCCTGCTGGCCTGTCTGGAATCATCTGTAAGATGCCTACCAGGCCTCGCTGCCTGGGCTGGGAACACCGAGCCCTCCAGAGACCTAGCAGGAGGTGGAAAGAATGAAAGCGGAACTGGGACTGGAAGACAGCAGTCGAGGGAACTCCGCCAGAGACCTAGAACCGGAGGCAGGAACAATAGCGCTTCACGCGGGCTTCCTTCCGCCTGAAACGTGACCGGTGCACGCGCGGGAGGGAGGCTGGGGGCACCTGCCCCTGTGGAGCGGGGCGCTGGCCTTTCCTCAGAGAGCGGCACAGACTGGTATGCGCCTCCGAGGACGCGGCCTAGCTGCATCGCTGTGCTGCTGAGCCGGCCTCGCCCCAGGCCACACGTAGTCTCCCTTCAGTACACAGGCTCACATCAGAGCCACTCTGCTCCACACTGTCACCACAGCTGGGCCCACACCGGCCCAATGCAAGACCATGGCCTCACCCTCGCTCGCGTGTCCCTATTCAGATGGGCCAGCAGCTTCCAAAGCATTTGACAGACACTGAGGATAGCTGGGGCGAAATGTGTTTTCCTAGTTTTCACTTACACAGGAAGGGGAGCTGAAAGGGTCTGTGGACGGATGGGCCCCGTTTCACCACTTCAGTGATGATGATGATGATTCCTCAGAGAATTCCTGCTGCTGATATGCATGTCTCATTGCCTTGGGAGAGAAAAGCCCACAGGCGAAATCTGGGGATGCGGGGGCAAAACTCCGTTTCGGGGAGCTCCTGAACTTGACCCCCCACCTAGCTTTGGGCTGGGCTCCACATGGCAGGGGCTCATAAATGGGGTGCCAGTGGCCCAGCCCCAGTCCCAGCATGGGAGAAGCTGCATTCCAAATTGAGAGGGTTGGGGGGGGTGCTGATGCCAGGCAGCACCCCCGCCCCGGTAAGCCAAGGGCACAGACTGGGAACTAAAACGACCCCTGTTGTTTTTTCCTCCAAAGGTGTAGCTTAGGGGAGAAAACAGCCTCAGAAGAACTCCCCTGAACTTCTGCTAATCAGCAAGCCTCACAGGACCCCCACATACCTGTCCCCATCCCCCGCCACAGGCCGCGGGGCATCCCTCTGCCTGAAGCCAGTCCCTGGAGTTCTTCACCCTGCTCCTCTTGCCTCAAATCTAACTCTCGTCTCGCCTCTCAGTGGAGCGGCTCTTGCTCAGTCATCAAGTGCCCAGTTAGGAAACCTCGAGGCAGCTTTCCTTGACCTGTCAGCAGCGCCTGACATATTGACGACTCCTGGCCCTTGGGTCCGCGCGACCAGTGGCCTGACAGCCCCCCCTTGTTCCCCTGCTCATTTTCTGCTTCTCATGTTCTTCTAGCTCAAGTTCTCCCGCCCCCTAAAAGCTGAAGTCCCTCTCTTCCCCGCCTCCTACGTTCCTGAATGATCTTGTCTGTCCTGAGAGTTTCTGTTAACATGTTTTAAGCATCTTTCATTGAGCAACGAGCCACTCCAAGCTTAGAGGCATAAAACAACAAACCAGCAACTAAATGAACAGGCAAGCCAGTGCGTCGAGGCGGATCTGCAGACTGCAGGTCGCACGACGGATTCACGACAAACTGCCTAGAGAAGCCATGTGGCGCAATAGCAAAACACTCACTTTTCCAGACACAACAAGCCCAGAGGTGCACCAGATGCCCAGCGTGTCTCTGCATCACAGCGGGCAGCTCCAGGCCACATGGGCTCCCCCATGGTGAGCAGTGAGCAGTGCTAGCAGCAGTGAGCGCGAGCGAGGATGAGGATGAAAGCACCCTTGTCCTCTTGCCACTACCAACGGGGCTTCTGTGGGGCCCAGAGACCACACTTTTGGGTCCAGGACAGAGAAGATCGTTGCCCCGGGGGAGACAGCTACATTTTTGTGCTCAGTGCTGCAGCAGCACCCGAGATAGCAGGGCACTAAACAGCTGCCATCCGCAGGGACTGGGTGACCTTGGCCCGGAAGACTCAGTCCATCGGGAAGGACACCGGGACTGGAGACCCAATTCCAAGGTCCACGTGGCAGGGCTCTGCGGCGACAGGTGCGCGCACCGGTGGCCCTGCCCAGGCCCTGTTCAGCAGAGGGAAGACCAGACCTACAATGAGGAGAGCGAGGACGTCCTGGGTGCCAAGCCAGGGTTGGGTCCCGCCACCTGGGCTGCGATGGTTGAAAGAGACTCAACCCCGCTGCCGAGGGGGCCTCGCCCACGGCCTTCCCTTATGGCTGCCCACAGCGTGGCCACTGGGCACCGAATGGGAGCGTCTCCAAAGCAGCCTCCAGAGAACAAACACTGCAAGAGAATGAGATGGAAGCGATGGCTATCCCTGTCCTAACCTCGGGAGCAGCTGCATCCACTGGGCACAAGGCACTAGCTGAGGTCAGTGCAGGCCCAGGAGATGGGCAGAGTCACCTCTTAATCCCAGGAGCAGCTGCAACGCATTTGTGGACACCCATGAACCACCACAGCCCCTTTGTGCTGGGCGCTGCCAAACTGGCATCACACCAAATTTAACATGTCCAAATCTGAGCTGCTGACTTGGCAACCCACATGATTCTTCCCTCCGTCATCCTTTATCAATAAATTTACCCAGATGCGCACAGCCAAATCCAGGGGGTGCTCCTGACATCCCCACATGCAGTGTACCCCACAGTGCCGTGTGCGCAGCTCCTAGTGCAAGTCCTGAGTTGCGCTCACCCCTCTACTCGTTCGCCCCTAGCACCCAGCCCAGCCTCTGCCACGGCCCGCACTGGGGTGACTGCAAGCCACCCTTACATGCACTTAGCCTTTTGTTGACTTTATTGTGTTTTGGCTTTTTTCCCCTCTTATTTTTTTCCTTACATCACTGTACTCCCCATAGTTTCCCCCCACCATATCACCCATGAACCATCACTGCATTCTCCTGCGTCTTCCCTCCCCTGTTTGACCCCTTCCTCCCCTGCCTTTGCTGTATGCTACGGTTTTTTGGACAGCTGCTAGTTTTAACTGTTTCTTCACCTTTCACTTAGTCTCTCTATATTCCACATATGAGACAGCCTGGTATTTACCTCACCCCCCACCCGACTTATTTTGGCCAGCTTAATCACTTCCAGCTCCATCCATGTCGCAGCAAATGGCATGAGTTTCTTTTTGATGACCAAGTAATATTCCACTCTGTAAAGATACCGCATCTTCTTTATCCATTTGTCTAATTTGAGCAACGCGGCCTTTTGAATCGTTGCCTAGATCACATTGCCAGCCTGTTTAATATCCTTCAATGGCACCCTACTGTGCTAGAATAAAACCCCAAATGTAACCCTGGACTTCAAAGTCCTGCTCAGCCTCCTATCATAAAACCTCCTCTTCTCATCACAACACATCAGCCACATAAGCTGCACATCAAGTGCTAATCTGTCCTGGGGCCTTTGTGCAGAGCATCTCCTCAGTATAGAATGGTATTTCCCCTCCTGCCTACATTAAGTAATAAGAAAAATCCCAAAGAACAATGTAACCCTATGATTTAAAGAACTATAAAAAAAGAAGAAGAAATGGAGAACAAAGCTATCAGAAAGAACAGCACAATGAACACCAGGGCAGATACAGGACAGGAAGCAACACTAGTAAATGACCAAACTAACACTTGTTTCTTTGGAAACTGACAAACCTTTAGCTAGACTAACCAAGGGCAAGAGAGGACCCGAATCTATAAACCTACAAAATGAAAAAAGAGACATTGCAATTGACTCCATAGAAGTAGAAAGGATCCTAAGAGAGGTAGGAACAACACATGCCAACGAACTGGACAATCAAGAAGAAATGGAAAAATTCTTGGAAACATACAGTGTACCAAGACTGAATCTGGAAGAAGTGGAAAGTGAATAGACTAGTTACTAACAGGGAGACTGAATGAGCCATATATGGTAACTCACTGTGAGAGGTTGAAAGCTTTTCCTCTAAGATAAAAAACAAGACACCACTCCTTTCCAACATAAGTCCTGGGAGCCTTGCCAGAGCAATAGCAAAAGTAAAGAAATACAAGGCATCCAAATTGTAAAGGAAAAAGAAAAAAATGTCTCTATCTGTAAATGACTTTATATATAGATAATCCTAAGGATTCAACCAGAATACTATTCTATCTAATAAATGTAGTAAAGTTGCAAAAAGCAAAATTATTAGTGTACAAAATGTCAGTGGCATTTCTATACACTTAACACAGAACACATAAGGAAAAAAAAAGAATTATTCTATTTACATCATCAAAAGCAATAAACTTAACCAAGGAGGGGAAACATCTGTACTCTGAAAACTACAAGACATTGATGAACATAATCAAAGAACACAAAGCAAATACAAAGTTATCCTATGGTCATGAATTGAAAGTATTGATGTTTGTTAAAATGGCCATACTACCCAAGTTATCTACAGACTCAATGCAACCCTTATTAATATTCCACTGTCATTTTTCAAAGTAAGAGTGAAACAGCCCTAAAATGTATAAAAAACC